CAGTCCGATGAGTGTTGAGGCTTGCGGCAGCTATCGTTATTTTCTGACCTTCACAGATGATTTGAGTAAGATATGGGTATATCTTCTTGATGAAACATAAGTCTGAAACATTTGAAAAGTTCAAAGAATTTCAGAGTGAAGTGGAAAATCATCATAACAAGAAAATAAAGTTTCTACGATCTGATCGTGGAGGAGAATATTTCAGTTACGAGTTTAGTCTTCATTTGAAACAATGCGGAACAGTTTCGCAACTCACGCCACCTGGAACACCACAGCGTAATGGTGTGTCCGAACATCGTAACCGTACTTTATTAGATATGGTACAATCTATGATGTCTCTTACCGATTTACCACTGTCGTTTTGGGGTTATGCATTAGATACAGCTGCATTCACGTTAAATAGGACACCATCTAAATCCGTTGAGACGACACCATATGAACTGTGGTTTGGCAAGAAACCAATGTTGTCGTTTCTTAAAGTTTGGGGTTGTGATGCTTATGTGAAAAAGTTTCATCCTGATAAGCTCAAATCCAAATCGGAGAAATGTGTCTTCATAGGATACCCAAAGGAGACAGTTGGGTACACCTTCTATCAGAGATCCGAAGGCAAGACATTCATTGCTAAGAATGGATCCTTTCTAGAGAAGGAGTTTGTCTCGAAAGAAGTGAGTGGGAGGAAAGTAGAACTTGATGAGGTAAATGTACCTGCTCCCTTATTGGAAAGTAGTTCATCACAGAAATTTGTTCCTGTGACTCCTACACCAATTAGTGAGGAAGCTAATGATGATGATCATGTAACTTCAGATCAAGTTACTACCGAACCTTGTAGGTCAACCAGAGTGAGATCCGCACTAGAGTAGTACGGTAATCCTGTTCTGGATGTCATGTTACTTGACCATGACGAACCTACGAACTATGAGGAAGCGATGATGAGCCCAGATTCCGCGAAATGGCTTGAGGCCATGAAATCTGAGATGGGATCCATGTATGAGAACAAAGTATGGACTTTGATTAACTTGCCCGATGATCGACGAGTCATTAAGAATAAATGGATCTTCAAGAGGAAGACGGATGCTGATAGTAGTGTTACTATCTACAAAAGCTCGAATTGTCGCAAAATGTTTTCGACAAGTTCAAGGCGTTGACTACGATGAGATTTTCTCACTCGTATTGATGCTTAAAAGTCTATCCGAATCATGTTAGAAGTTGCGCATTTTATGAAATCTGGCAAATGGATATCAAAACTGTATTCGTTCATGGATTTCTTAAAAGAAAAGTTGTATATGATGCAACCAGAAGGTTTTGTCGATCCTAAAGGTGCTAACAAAGTGAGCAAGCTCCAGTGATCCATCTATGGACTGGTGCAAGCATCTCGGAGTTGGAATATATGCTTTGATAAAGTGATGAAAGCATATGGTTTTATACAGACTTGCGGTGAAGCCTGTATTTACAAGAGAGTGAGTGGGAGCACTACAATATTTCTCATAAGTATATGTGAATGACATATTGATGATCGGAAATAATGTAGAATTTTCTGGAAAGCATAAAGGAGTATTTGAAAGGAATTTTTCAAAGAAAGACCTCGATGAAGTTGCTTACACATTGAGCATCAAGATCTATAGAGATAGATCAAGACGCTTGATAAGTTTTTTCAATGAGTACATACCTTGACAAGATTTTGAAGTAGTTCAAAATGGAACAATCAAAGAAGGAGTTCTTTCCTGTGTTGCAAGGTGTGAAGTTGAGTAAAGACTCAAAACCCGACCACAATAGAAAATAGAAAGAGAATGAAAAGTCATTCCCTATGCCTCAGTCATAGGTTCTATAAAGTATGGTATGCTGTTTACCAGTCCTATTGTATACCTTAGCATGATTCTAGCAAGGGAGTACAATAGTGATCTAGGAGTAGATCACTGGACAGCGGTCAAAATTATCCTTAGAGGACTAAGGAAATATTTCTCGGTTATGGAGGTGATAAAAGAGTTCATCGTAAATAGTTATGTCGACGCAAGCTTTTTACATTGATCTAGATGACTCTAAGTCTGAATCTAGATACATATTGAAAGTGGGAGCAATTACCTAGAGTAGCTCCATACAGAGCATTGTAGACATATAAATTTGCGAAATACACACGGATCTGAATGTTGCAGACCTGTAGACTAAACTTCTCTCACAAGAAAAACATGATCATTCTTTGGGTGTTAATCACATAGCGATGTGAACTAGATTATTGACTCTAGTAAACCCTTTGGGTATTAGTTACATGGAGATGTGAACTAATCACATAAAGATGTGAACTAGATTATTGACTCTAGTGCAAGTGGGAGACTGAAGGAAGTATGCCCTAGAGGCAATAATAAAGTTATTATTTATTTCCTTATATCATGATAAATGTTTATTATTCATTCTAGAATTGTATTATCCGGAAACTTAGTACATGTGTGAATACATAGACAAACAGAGTGTCACTATTATGCCTCTACTTGACTAGCTCATTAATCAAAGATGGTCAAGTTTCCCAACCATAGACATGAGTTGTAATTTTATTAACAGAATCACATCATTAGAAGAATGATGTGATTGACTTGACCCATCCTTTAGATTAGCACGATGATCGTTTAGTTTGTTGCTATTGCTTTCTTCATGACTTATACATGTTCCTATGACTATGAGATTATGCTACTCCCGAATACCGGAGGAACACTTTGTGTGCTACCAAACGTCACAATGTAAGTGGGTGATTATAAAGGTGCTCTACAGGTGTCTCTGATGGTACTTGTTGAGTTGGCACGGATCAAGATTAGGATTTGTCACTCCGATTGTCGAAGAGGTATATCTGGGCCCTCTCGGTAATGCACATCACTATAAGCCTTGCAAGCAATGTAACTAATGAGTTAGTTGCGGGATGATGCATTACGGAATGAGTAAAGAGACTTGCCAGTAACGAGATTGAACTAGGTATTGAGATACCGACGATCGAATCTCGGGCAAATAAACCGATGACAAAGGGAACACCGTATGTTGTTATGCGGTTTGACAGATAAAGATCTTCGTAGAATATGTAGGAACCAATATGAGCATCTAGGTTCTGCTATTGGTTATTGACCGAAGACATGTCTCGGTCATGTCTACATAGTTCTCGAACCCGTAGGCTCCGCACGCTTAAAGTTCTGTGACGATCGATATTATGAGTTTATGTGATTTGATGTACCGAAGGTAGTTCGGAGTCCCGGATGAGATAGGGGACATGACGAGGAGTCTCGAAATGATCGAGATGTAAAGATCGATATATTGGACGACTATATTCGGACATCAGAAAGGTTCTGAGTGATTCGGGTAGTTTTTGGGGTACCGGGGAGTTACGGGAATACGGGGAAGAAGTAATGGGCTTCAAGGGCCAAGTGGTGGAAGAGAGGAGGCAGGGCGTGCGGCCCCCTAGCCCAAACCGAATTGGACTAGGGGGCTGGCCCCCCTTTCCTCCTTTTCCTCCCTCTCCTCCTTCCTTTCCTCCTCCTAGTAGGAGTAGGAAAGGGGAGTCCTACTCCTACTAGGAGGAGGACTCCTGCTCCTGGCGCGCCCTACAGGAGCTGGCCGGCCTCCCCCTTGCTCCTTTATATACGGGGGCAGGGGGCACCCTAGAACACACAAGTTGATCATTGATCCCTTAGCCGTGTACGGTGCCCCCCTCCATCATAATCCACCTCGATCATATCGTAGCGGTGCTTAGGCGAAGCCCTGCGTTGGTAGCAACATCATCACCGTCAACACGCCATCGTGCTGACGGAACTCTCCCGTGAAGCTCTGCTGGATCGGAGTTCGTGGGACGTCATCGAGCTAAACGTGTGCTGAATTCGTAGGTGTCGTGCGTTCGGTACTTGGATCGGTCAGATCGTGAAGACGTACGACTACATCAACCGCGTTCTCATCACGCTTCCGCTTACGGTCTACGAGGGTACGTGCACAATACTCTTCCTTTCTCGTTGCTATGCATCACCATGATCTTGCGTGTGCGTAGGAATTTTTTTTGAATTTACTACGTTCACCAACAGCTGGCCCATTCCGAACTCTCAATAGTAGAAGTCATGGCGATCGCAATAAAGAGATGCGTGCAGCCTCTTCAATCCAGAGTAACTTCTTTATTGTGTTATAATGGAGAAGACGACGCATCCCGTTACAGACGGCAGGGTCCGGATACCCCAACCGAACTAGTTTCAATTTTGGCCGATCTATACAAGGGCGAAAAAGAAGACTTTCTCCGGTTAAACTGACGGGAGGTCTATTCCATGTACACCCCTATTGAATGGGTAAGATTTCGATTCGTCTGTGCTTATTCTACTCCATTACAAACACTAATCGAATGTACTTTTGGTTACCACCAACTAGTCATGGAGAAGGATGATCGAGGACGTCCACTGTCTTGCTCTTCAGTCGGAGGATCATAATCGCGACAAAGATCATGTCTTTTGCGAGGATCAGGATATATATATATATATATTCCCAGAATTAGAATAGTTATTTGGATCACAGCGGCCCCTGTATAGAAACCGTGGAGGTGTTCTCGAACTCAGAACCTGTAAAGAAAAAAAAAGAAGGAAAAAGCCCACCCCACGACCGACGACCACCCACCGCTCCTCCTCCCACCGTCCCCGATCCCCAACCTCTCTGGATCCCATCGCCTGTGACCGCCTGACCTCCGCCGCCGCACGCCTGGCTTCTTCTCCTTCCGTCTCCTTGCCCGTGTCCAGCGTGCACCGCCGGCCCACCCATGGCGCTGTCACCGCGGCCACCCACTTCTCCTACCTCCCCACGGCGAGGCGTGCCTCCACCGCCGCCGCGACCCCAGCCGTGCATCTCCGGCGTGGCGCCTCCCCACCACCGCTGCTACCCCATCCCGCCCCTACCCCCTACTCCGTCGCCGCCTGCCGGGCGGACCTCGATTTCCCTACAGGAGGAAGGGGTTCTCACCGGCTACGTGGGATAAGGCCAGGGAGACTTGCGGGTCATGCGGGCACCGGTGTTGCGTAGCAGTAGGGCGCCGCCGTCGAATTTTTCAAGGAGATGCGGCCCCTTCCCCGTCCAACTGCGACCATGGCGTTGTCCAACCTCGTCTGTGCGCGCAGTCCATCCTTGTTCACTCGCTCGCCAGCAGAGGTGAGACCCCCCTGCCCCCTTCTCCACCTCATGTGCTCCTTCCGCACTGCCGACGCGGCACTGATAGCAAATGTCACGGCGTACGTCTAGTTCACTCAGGGGTGCTCTCTCCGCTTCTCCGTTGAGCTTAGTGGACCACTAACCCAAACCCAGCGCGCTTCTAGATGTTGCCTCGGGGAAGAGCAAGTTCCAAATGTGAAATTTGGTAGTTCAAGTGGCCGGAATTCGTGCTTGTGTGGGGCGGGCTGGCAGTTGAATCTGCTCCAGCAATTCAGTTCTTTTCAATTTTTCCATGTGCAGCAGGACATGAATATGAGTGTATGGAAAACGTGTATGTAGACATTGAGAAAGTTCAGTATTGTTTCTTCTAGCTCGCTCATGCAGCTATGCAGATCATTTATTTTCAGGCCATCCCCGTCCAGCCCTCCTGTGGTAGGAAGGTCGAGCCCATCGCAAGCTGTAGTCCACGATAGTCACCCGGTCCTGCCTCCTTCATCCTTCCCCACCACGCCCTCTGCCTCGACCAGCCGGTTGGACATCTTGTCAAGCTCGAGAACCTGTATTGCAGAGCTAGCTAATGGTTCTTCTTTTCCTACCCCCACAGCTTCCCTTTCAGCCATTGAAGCTACAGATGGAGCCCGCAATGCAGCAGCATCACCCCAACGACCATGGGACGGTCGACGATGGCTGCCTGTGGTGTGCGTCTCTCCGACGTGCTCGGCGTGCTGCCGAGGGGGCTGCAGTTTGAAGTGGCTGGGTAATGAAGTTCAGAGAATGCTTTTTTAGTACATTCAGAGAAGTTGCTTTCTTGCTTTTTGTGATATTTTGGCTACACAGGTACTTAGTGCAGAGAGGTTGTGACCTTTGGGTCCTCTCATCTTGAACACTTGCACCACAACCTCATCTCATGGGTAAAATGACTATTAGTAAATTGGCACTAAAAATGAATACAGAATAAGTAGAAAGACATGATGACCTCATCTCACGGGTTCCATCTCAATATAGCTCAAGCTTTTTAGAAACTACATTTGACACAAAGCACTAAATTGATATAGTTGTGATAGCTTCTGAAGTAATTTTATCACTTTTGCAGCTTTGCCAATTTATTTGTAAATGCTTTGTTTTCCACTAATTTATTTCGAAATGCTTTTTTTCCATAACAATTATTTTGGCATTAGCAAAACAGAAGTTGTCTGGTGGCGAGAGACCATGCAGGCTGTTTCGTTACTGGAAAAATGCCTGAAGCATGAACTCGTATTTGGTCCATGGCGTCGTGCTTCGCGTCGGCGACCGCCGGGGCTCCTTGGTCCATGAACAGGTTTGCTCAGTGGCACGCACAAGCCGAGGAAGCTACAGTTGTCGATGGATAAAGTTCAACTTCGTGCATGGATAAAGTTCAGTTGTCACTAAAGCTTCTGTTGTTCTCCATCGCGCGCCTGTAGTGTGTCCATGCAGGTCGAGTAAAATTCTCATGGAAGTTCAAATAAAAAAGCAGCTATAGCGCAACCGTCGGTGGCTATAATGCGTGGTGAAAACTAAAATCTGAAACGAGTGTTGCTAGATATAGTAGGCAGCAGATTTTCTGAGGTTTGTTGGTGAACGCAACAACAGTAGTTTGTGCCATTGGGGCCGTGTGGCAACCAGAAATCTACACCTGGATGTACTCTCTCTGTCTCTCCTGAAATTCTAGGGCTAATCTACTTGTAATTCTATCTCATCTATTTGTATTTTATATCTCACATACCTGAACATAGTAGCAGACTAGCAGTGTTGTATGGTCAGTCTATGTGAGAGAGTTTGTGTGAACGTGGTGTTTACTTTTCTTCAGGAAGCCATTTTTTAATAATGAGCTATATCCCGCCCGCCCACTTATATTTTTCTTCAGTAAAAGAGATGAAGTTCATTTATACGTGTATATATGTAGACATAGTGTACATTCTATTTCCAGTGTACATTCTATTTCCAGTCTGGAAGTCCAGGAAAAAAAGAAGAACCCTAAGTTCAAAAGCGAATAAAACATTTAAAAAATTAGGCGATGGGCTTCTCATCCCTATTTGCGGTCTGCAAGCTGCCTCCAACCTTTGGCAATATTTGTAAAAAAGATTGTGCAGATTTTTCGTTACCCCATTTTAGTTACTGATTGAAGAAAATTTTGTTCATTAGGTGAAAGAACTTGATTTCTTTTGTTCCTTTGTGGAGGAAGGTCACCACAGAGGTAGGGAGAAGGTCACCATAAAAGCAGGGTGAAGGTCACATAAGGTGCAGAAAGAATGTCAGAGTTCAGCAACGGGGTGTGTGATCTTTGTGTTGTTTTTGGGGTGCAAATCATGGGTATGCGATCTCACATCTTGTGTATTATTGAGATGGCCTCCCTTAGCCTCAAACCATTTGCCTACAAAAATGATAGTCACGAATGCTACCATCATGTGTAAGAAAATTAGATATGTACATGTACACAACCTACAACAACTTTACGGGGAGTTGATGGATTATTCAGTGGTTGTTGTTGTTACTACTGATTTTTCTTGAGATGGTCTTCATCACCAATCAATAATTCACTTGTTTCTTGGTTGCATCTAGTTCCCTCGCTCCACATCAGCACTGATTCCTTCAACTAGATCTCGCTTGTTATTTTGTATTCTTATTTTCTTTTCATAAAGCATTTGCTCTGAAATCCGGATCCGATGATGTAGCTTTGACTATTCTTGAAAACATGGTGAAAACTGTACATGCTCTGTAGGTCAAAATTTTGGCTTTAATTTATTTTTTGTGAACGTCAAAATGTTGTGTTCGAGAAGGTCGAGTGTGTTACCGCAGCAAGTTCAAATAAAATTTAAACATGCAAGGTAAAACATTGGAGAGTTGCGATTCTTTAGAACTTCAAGTGATAAACACATTTGAAAAGAGCACAAAACAAAATTTAACTCTAGAAAAATCACTTCAAACACTAACAAGAAAAAGAATGTCTCTTTGTTATCGAACAGAAAAATAAAAATTAATGAAAGGGGGAATGCAGTTTACGCATTTTGTGAAAGAACTAAGAAGTTCGAGTTAAACGAAAAGAGTAGTTTGATTTTAATAAATAATTCAGTTTTTTCATTTCCATAAATAAAACCCAGAAGTTCAAATTTTAAAAAGAAAGAAGTTAAGAAATCATAAAAAGGACTTTCATTGTTTCTAAAATTAAAATAGAAGTTGAAATTGAAATAATGGACAATTCAATATTTATTACAAAAATAGAGAAGTTAAAACTAAAATCATACTCTCTTTACTAAAATAAATAAATCAAGCAGTCCAAATTAAAAAAAAATAGAGAAGTTTCATATTTATGACAAAACTCAGATTTTCCTTGTTACAAAAAAATAAAATGAAGAAGTTCAAATTAAAAAAGGAGAAGCTCGATGGATATAAAAAACGGAAATTCTTTCCAGTTCTTGGAAAAATGAAAGTATGAAGTTTAATTTTAAAAAATGGCTCATGCTTATTTAAAAACATATTTTTTCTAAGAATAAGACTAAGAACTTCAAATTAAAATAAAAGAGAAGTCCAAAGATTATGAAAACTAAGATTTTTCGCGTTACTAAAGTATAAAACGAAGAAGTTCAAATTAAAAAAAGGAACAACTAAAAAAGTTTAAAAATAGATTTTCCCCAGTTCTAAAAAAACTCAAAGTTCAAACGAAAATAATGAAGTGGACCAATTTTTATTTAGAAACTAAGATTTTACCGTTATTAAAATACTCAAATATCCCTTAGTATTGAAAAATCAACCATGAAGTTCAAATTGAGAAAAAAAGATTAAGAAATAAAATCAAGAAGTCCATATTAAAAAGATGGAGAAGTTCGATGATTATAGAAAACTCAAATTTTCCTTGTTATTAAAAATGGAAACAAGAAGTTCAAAAATAAAATAACAAGAAGTTCAACTTTTAAAAATAGAGCGCTGCAAAATTTCATTAAAAAGATTAAGAAATAAAACCAGGAAGTCCATATTAAAAAGATGGAGAAGTTTGATGTTTATAGAAAACTCAGATTTTCCTCGTTATTAAAGAATGGAAACAAGAAGTTCAAAAATAAAATAACAAGAAGTTCAACTTTTAAAATATAAAGCGCTTCAAAATTCATAAAAAGATTAAGAAATAAAACCAGGAAGTCCATATTAAAAAGATGGAGAAGTTCAATGATTATAGAAAACTCAGATTTCCTCGTTATTAAAGAATGGAAACAAGAAGTTCAAAAATAAAATAACAAGAAGTTCAACTTTTAAAAATAGAGCGCTTTAAAATTCGTAAAAGGGGACTAAGAAATTCAGATTAATATTCATAAAAAACTCAGATATTTTCACGTAACCGAGAGAAGTTAAGATTGATAACTGCCAGAAGTTCATGTACTACAGGTGTGCATTTTGTATTAAAAAGGAATAAAAAAAGCAAAGACTAAAAGTTTTCTTGTTATAATTCTCGGTCGAACAAAGTTAAAAAAATTATTGTGAGATGGGTTTGTACAAAAGAAATATCATTTGTGTAACACAAACGAATGAATGAGAAAATTACAAACGAAAATACGCCAGAGAAGTTCAACGTGAAAACAATAGGAAGTTTGACAACTAGGGTGAATGAATTTCAGATGAATTTATTTAAATCATCGTGAGTATGAAAAAACAATAAACAAGGGAAAGTTGCGTGTTTACAGCAGCTTTCCACCGGTATATCACTTGCTCAATTCCGGCGAGTATTCCGATGAGTGGATGAAGAGCTACGAGCAAGAAAAACACGTGAAAAAACAGAGTGAAGTTCAAGTACACGTGCCGAGAAGTTCAGGTTCTTCACGCGGTGCATTTTCGAAGAATCAGTTTCGCGATAAAGGCAGAACGAATGATCTCGCCATTTTTGCAATTACTTGAAAAGGGCTAGGAATCAGAGAAAACCATCAACATGAAAAAGTTTCGCATTTTTCGTAGCTTTTCAACAGTATATTATTTGCGCATTTCCGTTAAAGTTTGTAGAAAATACGGCGAAAATACCTTTTTCTCCATTTTCGAAACTGACTTAAAACCGTAAAGAAATGGGAGAAACAATACATACAAAAAAGTTTTGCATTTGTTCAAGCTTTCCAACTCCATATCATTTGCTGCATTCGGACGCATAGTTGAAAAATTAGCTCGAAAGTACGAACTCGGTAGGACTTGGACCATTTTCTAAATTACTCTTAAACCATTCAAAATTAGAAAAAAACTTTCTAGATGAAAAAGTAGCGCATTTTCATAAGCTTTCCAACGCTATATCATATTCCTCAATTGGATTAGCCGTTTAGAAATGACATCGAAAATACGAACTCAGCTGTTCGTTTTACAAAATTTTACGTTTTTTCAAATTACCCTTTAACCATAGGGAATTAGAGAAAACTTTCAACATGTGGAAGGAGCGGTTTTGCAGCAGCTTTCCAATGCCATATTATATGCATCATTCCGATAAACGGTTTAGAAATGCGATCGAAAATACGATTCACATTTTCTGTGTGAAGAAAAAACGGTTTTCAAAACTGCTCTTAAACCGCTTGCATTTTGCCAAAAATTTAAGTTGGGTCATGATACTGGTGTCCATACCTTTCCAACGGTATAT